TTGCCGGCCTTAATAGGTGCTCGCTAACAGCACTTGCCCAATAGTCTATTAAAGGCCATACGTGGGGGGGGGATGGTGGGGGTCTCTGTCTTTGTGTCTGTTCGTCTTTGTGATTCCCGCTCGCGACGATTATCTAAACCGGTCCTGTGCCTCTCCTAGGTCGACTCAACCTCAAATGAGTACCTGGTGCGGTGTGTAAACATCGCCAGTGGGGGAGACAAAGACGGCCGGGCGTGGTGCCGGCCACCCACACCCTCGTGTTCCATCCAACCTTCATAGGTGCTCGCTAACAGCACTTGCCCCAATAGTCTGTTAAGGCTACACGGGGCATCTATGTGTGTGTATGCCTCTCTATCTCTGTCTGGTAGCGTCAGTGCGCGTTATTGGTGAAGCGCTCCGAACATTGGCCCCTGAGTTCGCAACCCGGCCACGGCTATCATCAGTGGCGAGTGACATTTGACCCCTGCCCTGGGCTGTCTGCGAGTCGACCTTGAATGAGTGCCTGGCGCGGTGTATAAACAACAGCACTGGGGAGACAAAGGTGGCCGGACATGGTTCTGGCCCTACCACCCCCTCGTGCGCAGTTGCTGCCTCAATATACACTCGCAAACGTCGCGCATCCCCAAGTGTTTATGATGACTATAGAGTGGATAATTGTGTTTACTGTGTGTGTGTGTCTCTGTATATGTCTCCGCGTGTCTCCCTCTATAGTTACATCTTCACGTGCATATCCGAGTGCATCTTCGTGTGTGTGCATACCTGTGGTGGGTGGCGGCTGTGTTGTGTGTATGTCTAGGGTACATTGTATCAAGTGGGGAGCGGTAGTGTGGCGGTTAGCGTGGCTGCTCTACGAAGCAGGCGACCCGAGTTCGATTCCGCTCACGACGAACACAAGCGACGGACTACCTGAGCCTTCGCCGTGCCTCGCCTAGGTCGACTCAGCATCGAATCAGTACCTGTTGCGGTGTGTAGAAAACATCGGCACTGGGAGAGACAAAGACGACCGGGCGTGGTGCTGACCACCCAACACCCCTCGTGTGCCGTGTCGCCCTTCGCCGAGTGCTTGCTACACGCTGACAGCACTTGGCTCAACGGTCGGCGAAGGCTTACATGGGGTGATGTTTGTCTCTGTGGCGGGTGGCGGCTGCGTTGTGGTGTATCCCACCTCGGGTGCGTTCAGGTGAAAGGAGGCGTGAAGTGACGCGGCGCACGAGCCATGAGCCCCCCCTAACGCGCTCCCGGAGACCGCTTTTACGTCCAGCAAAACTATTTCCCCGTTCACTTTGCGGATTATTTATCGCGCCGCGCTATCGCTCGACTCGCTTCGAGAAGCCCGCCTGAGTCCTCGTGTTCTCACGTGCATGTGTAGTGCATGTGTAGTGCATGTGTAGTGTGCGTGTAGTGTGCGTGCGGGGTGATATTGTATATTGCAATGAGTGATTTCAGTCGGGACGGTCCACTGTGAACGCTCTCCCGGGAATGATGCCGGCACGTAACATCAACCTCGCCTTATTTTGTCTGTATTGTCGGCGTAAGGCACTACCACTAGAGTGGCAGTGCCTTGCGCCGACAATGTCCCAAGTCCACACCAGCAGAGCATGCAGCTTTTCCGGAAAATATCGGATTGATAACTCAAGGCTTGTCTTGATTTTTCCATTACGTCGTGAGCATTAAGATAACATCTGGAGCACCCAATTGATGTGCCGCTATGCGTTCATTATTTAAAATGGAACGCGACCTTGCCGAAGCTCGTTATATAATCACGGAGTGAAATGCACGCACGACCGTCATTATTTATCGTCCAAGATCACATCACGGTGGTCTCCCCACGCCGTGTCAGTCACGACGCCCGTTTGACAATGCTTCACCACGCTGGTCATTGCGGTTTGGTGAAGCAAGCGATGCCAGGATATCTCGCGCCAAATGTCACGCCCCCGTTGGAAACCGAACTCAGGCTCGCCGGGCCCCTAGCGCGGTGCGCTAACCACTACGCCACCGCTCCAACCAATGCATGTTGAACTTCTTTCGCACCGTACGTAGCCAACCATGCTAATCGGAGGTGCGGGGGAAGGACAACAAACTAAACACACAAAAACAACTGTTATTAAAAAAAACACATTTTCAATGTAGATGATTTAAAAGTAAAATCGTAAGAGCGTTCCAGATTGCCGCAGAAGCGCATCTGAAAGCGCGCGATGCAGTGAGCGTCTTTGTTCGATGGCGAGCCATACAGCCAATAATGAACTCAATTACAGGCACACAAGTGCAGACTATAAATGTTGATTAATTAACGGGCTCTCAACTGCTCTAAACCCAAAAAAAATCGCAATTACACAACGCACATAAGTAAATGTTTGAAACGTAACGTGCTTTTTTGTTGACCAAAATATTTGCATTCAATGTCACCCACGCGGTGTAAGACTGTCATGTGGGAGACTGGCGGATTTTGCCGGCTGTTTAGTCCGTGTCGGCTCACACGCGCACGTGGTGAATGGCCCCTTGAGTGACGCCAATTAATGCTCGATGTATCTAATTATCACCGCGTTGGTAAATAACACACACACGCGCGCACGTACGGGTGCGGTATGAGGAACGGGCAGAAATTAATCAGATGGGCGGGACCGTGATGTGTGCATGTGTGTGCGTTGCTGGCTAACAGCACTTGCTCAAAAAAGTGCGTTCAGGTTATACGGGTATCATTTTGGGGAGCGTTTGTGCAGGCGTTAGCGAGCTGCGCTACGAACCCGGCAACACGAGTTCGATTCCCACTCACGAACAACACCAGTGACGATTATCTGACCCGGTGCTTGGCCTCCCCTAGGTCGACTCAGCCTCAAATGATGTGTAAACATCGTGGGTGGTGGCTGGCCACCCACCCCTTTTTGTGTCGTGCCGGCCTTCATTGGTGTTCGCTAACAGCACTTGCCCCAACAGTCTGTTAAGGCTATACGGGGGATCTTTTTATGCGTATGTTTATATGTATGTATGTATGAGTGTTTTTATTGACCGTATATATATAGGTGTGCCTGTGTGTTTGCGTGTAAGTGCATGCATATATATATGGGTGTGTGCATTTGATTTAGTTTGAGTGTATGCATTTCTGTATGTATGCATGCGTAAATACGTATGTGTGTATATATGTACTTGTGTGAGCATATGCCCATGTTTGTCGGTGGTGTACTTGTATGTAAGTTCATGTGTGTATGCACTTGCGCATATGTGCGTGGATATCAGCACTTTCCCCAAAATTGTGTTGCGGCTACACGGGGGATCTTTGTTTTTTTGAGTGTGTTTGTGTGGTCAGTGTATGCATTTGCGGGTGTGAGCATGGGTGGACGATTGTGTAATTAGTCGTATAGAGTATATGTGCGTGATGGGGTGTGTATGTGTGTGTGATCTTAAACGTGTGTGCGTGCAATAGTCTATGAAAACCATAAAGGGGACATCTTTGCCTTGCATTTTTTTTAATGCCAGTTCGTGTATGTATTATGTATGTACGTGTACGTGCATGACTGCACGTGTGTGTGTGTCTGAAATTTACCGCAATTACCTTACGAATAAGTACCCTAGGTATTGTATAAAATTATTATTCGAACATAACTTCAGATTTATTTCAGAACCCTGCTTAATAATTAATGCGGCGCAATTAAGAATCAGCGTGTGGGCGTGTGTGCATGTGTGTGTGCACGTGTGTGTGTTAATGTGTGTGCGTGCGTGTGTGCATGTGTGTGTGTGCATGTGTGTGTGCATGTGTGTGTTAATGTGTGTGTGTGTTAATGTGTGTGCGCGCGTGTGTCTGTGCATGTGTGTTAATGTGTGTGCGCGCGCGTGTGTATGCATGTGTGTGTGTGCATGTGTGTTGCGTGCATGTGTGTGCGCGCGCGTTTGTGTGCATGTGTGCGCGCCTGTGTGTGTGCATGCGTGCGTTCGTGTGTGCACACCTGTGTGTGCGCGCGTCACAACTATTTAACACCAAATTAATCGCGATTGCGTGTATGAATTTTTCGCTTGGTGCCGAATGTACAAATCTCGACATCATAATAGCAATAATAATACAAACAATATGAATATTATTAAAACCAGACACGCCATAGTCACGCGATATATATATAGATGGACCTACTGTGCAAACTACTATTTTGATATGGAATTTTGCAAGCGTGGTGTACATTACTCCCAACGTACAAAATATAACTCGCATGCGACAAAACGACGCAAACGAAAGGATGCCATTAAATACCACGAACTCAGGCGCGTTATCGGACTACGAGATATATACACTGCAGTGTGCGCGCGCGCGTGTGTGTCACGTAACGTGACTCACGTAACGTGACTCACGCGGGTTCCCTCTCCTCCTCCTCCTCGTCGTCGTCGTCGCGTTCAGGCGCTGCGCCTGTGAACTCGGCGCAGAGAGCGAGCACAGCAGCGCCAGAGGTTGGGGAGCCGTCCCGATTAAGGCGCTGATGGAAACTCTCGTTCGCGACGCCTCCCCCCTCCTCCTCCTCTCTCTCTCTCTCTGCACTGCTTCCTCACATCAACACGGCATTTCATCAAGCGGACAAGACGAAATTAAAGCCACATTAACCCGCGGCGAGGAATGCGGTGCCCGGGAATTCTTTATAGATTTCATATCTTTGAGAAACTCATTTTTTGTGAAGTAAGCTTTAATTATCCCCCCCTCCCCTCCTTCACTCCCGCCCCCTGTTCAACCACTTCTTAACATCCCATCTCCAAGTACACACCTCCCTTCTAACACCACACTTAACACCCCCCCCCCCTTTCTACGCCGCCTCCCACCCCACCTCCTACCACGAACATCTTTTGCCACCATGTCGCTCCTAAACCTCGCAATGCCCCAAACAGACTGCCCCATCTCCACCCACATAACCCCCCCACCGCCACACACACACACACCACCACCACGCACCCCACAACTACTCCCAGACTCCACCCACACCCACCCACCCCACCGCTCCCCTCCCCTGTACCCCACCCTCCCCCTCGCCTCAATTAATTAATCTTCGCGCTGACTGGGGCCCCTCAGCATTGGAGGAAGGGCTGGCCGCGCATATGTGGCGGTCCCGATAATTGATTACCGACCAACCAACGGAAAACTTTTTTTTTTTAGCAACGCGGGCGTCAACACCGCCGCTGCCTCGGCTCTTTTTAACTCCTCCACGCTCACCGCGCCGCCTTCATCTCTCCCGTCGGCATCCTTGGCCTGACACAGGCTGCTTTTGACCGCTCGCCTCCTCGCGTTGCTCACGCGTGCCGGAGCCCGGCGTCTGCTTAGCGAGAAGAGACAGCTGAGGAGGGAGAGCGAGAGGCGGCGGCGGCGGAGCAGGAGGGAAGATCGCGGCTCACGGAACGCGACGCGGGTTGCCGACCCTGCTGCCAGACTTCGACTGCCAGACCCAGCTTTTATTTGTTTTGCTGTTGACCGGACGCTGTGGCCGGGGAGTTTCTTAACGCCGTTGCTTCGCCTCCGGGGAGTACGGGGGGAGCGGCAGGGAAGAGGAGGAGGAGGTGGTGGTGGTGGTGGGGGGACGGCCGTGGTGGGGAGAGAGAGCGCGAAAGTGCCTCGGCTTCTTTTTTACGCAGCTGAGTGGTTTTTTTTGACGGCGCTCGGCTTGACTCGAAGGCGGCGTCGCGAGTGGCGGAAGACGCGGCGAGACCTCATCCCGAGCCGCCGCCTCGTGCCGCCGTCGCCGCTGCTGCTATCGCCGCCACAGCGAACACGACCGTAGAGAAGCCGCGACGGAGGAGCGTCACGCGCCAAGCAAATGAGAGATTCGCGTCTGGATAAAATAATAATTTAAAAAAAGGCGGCGATCGTAAATAAAGACGAATCACAACAACAAGAATAAGAAGAAGACGTAACCTCACCGAGGCACGAAGGTCACTGTCACACGTCGCGCTCCTGCCATCGCCCCGCTTGTGTCGTGCGGAATTCGAAGTTTTTTTCTCGTGTCGCCACCAAGCGCGGCAGTAGATTTCGCGTCCATTATTTGATCTACTTCTATTCTGGCCGGGGCCCCGGGTGGAGGAGGTGGGGGGGGTCATTCATTTTTGTTTTGCTTTGGAGAGACTCTCGCTCCGCGGTGCCCGCAGAACCGCGGCGACGATCACCGCAGTCACAGCCACGACGACCACCACCACCACCTCGACTACAGCCACGACCGCTACCATCACGGACCACCGATGACTACCGCCTTCCAGAAGCCGAAACCCAACCAGGGTCTCCCGCGCGCCATGGAGGAACGGGAGCGGGGCCGCTCACCGCTCGACCACCTCCCCCCGCCGGCCAACTCCAACAAGCCCCTGACTCCCTTCAGCATCGAGGACATCCTCAGCAAGCCATCTGTGCGGCGTCGCGGATTCGCTGTGTGCGCTGCTAGAGCTTCCGCTGCGGCGGCGGCGGCGGCAGCGGCAGCGGCGGCGCTGGGAGCCGAGAAGGGAGCGGGGCCTATGGTTGGGCACGGCGGTGGTGGTGGAGGCGGTGGTGGTGGTGGAGGAGGAGGCGGTGGAGGAGGAGGCGGTGGAGGCGGCGGACACCACGCCGGTGGTCACGGAGCGACCCTGGTTCGACCGTGCACGGTGCAGGCCACGCAGGCGTCCCCGCTGTGCGCCCTGGAGGAGTTGGCGAGCAAAACGTTTAAGGGTCTCGAAGTGAGCGTCTTGCAGGCGGCTGAAGGTGCGCTGGGCTTGCCACGTGTGTATTTCATTACAAATCGCCCGTCTCATCAGTCTATTTGCTCATTGCTCTCGTTGATTGCTGGTGGTGGTGGTTGTTGTTGTTGTTTTGTTGCTGCTGTCCGTTGGCATGGTTTGGTTTTCCATGAGTCGCAGCTCAGCTCCGTGCTTTGTGTCCTTGCAAGTGGTTTGAGTGTTGTCTGGGTTTGTTTGACGCACGCGGCACCTTTTTTTGCGCCGCTCAACGTGGCGGATTTAGCGAAACTTTGATAGTGAGGGGTGAGTAAGCAGACTTAACGGTCAGAGTGGCGGTGGCGTAGTGCTTAGCGCACCGCGCTATGAAACCGACCGCAAGAGTTCGTTTCCCGGGCGTATTAGCTCACAATCAGTGGCGAGTTAGATCTGAACTGGTCCTTGGCCCGTAACCACCACCCATCCCCCCCCCCCCCCCCTGTTCATCCACGCGCATTGCAAGAGTGTTGAAGTATGGTCAAACAATCCCCATCACCCTTATTGTAATTTAACGCCACTAAATAGCGTGACAATCGCTCACTTGAATGGTTGTTGCGCAATATCCTAAACAACTGTTATACGAGAGTCAATTTGCTCATTGCTATAAGTCGGTACGTGACGGGAGGGCTATGGGGCTGCATCTACAGTTTGCTTGTCTGAACAAAATCCGCCGCGTAGATGTTTAATTGTTCCGAAAAGCCGTTGGACTAAATGTATGAATATTCTCGTTTTGTACTGTTATTTAACGTGATGCTGTTATTGTAATTGTTGTGGGTAGCCTAGCTTGGGTGGCATGTGAACAACTAGGTTAACGCACGTGCATGTGTGTGTATGTGTGTCTGGTATGTAACTTCATAGGTGCTGCTCGCTAACAGCACTTGCCCCAACAGTCTGTTGAGGCTATACGGGGGGGGATATTTGTATTTGTCTGTGTGTGGTATGTAACTTCATAGGTGCTCGCTAACCGCACTTGCCCCAAAAGTATGTTAAGGCTACACGGTGGATCTTTGTCTTTGGTATGTAACTTCGATTCCTATTGAAGTCACAGCTATCCGACTGCGTTGTGTTTAAAAGACACAATGTCACGGGCATGTACTGTACACAGACGAACGTTCTCTCGTTTTTCCCGCTGTGATTGAAGGGCGGGTTTTGTATTCATTGTATAGGACGGAGCGGTGGCGCAGTGGTTAGCACTATTGTGCTTGTGAACCTGGATGCCGAACCTGAGTTCGATTCCCCACGGAGAAACATCAGTGGCGTCTCGCCCCCCCCCCAACTCTACTCCGTCTCAACAACCCGCAATTGACGATCGTGGGGAAGTATGGTTAAACAACCCACGTGAGTAAGGCGGCAGTGGGAGGCCTTCATCCAGCAGTGGATTGACAAAGCACTGCGAATTAAAATTGTAGGACTTTAGAAGTTTCCATTCACGTTCCCCAACGCATGCGTTGTGAATGGTTGTACACAGGAATTGATTTAGCTACCCCCATATGAATGTATATGTTACCATGTGCAGTATGTGTATCATATACTAATGCGAATATTTGTTTGGCATCTATCTTTTACTTGCCTATGTGTACAGTTATATAACTCTTTAATTGTTTGTCCCTGACTATGTCAGAATATACGTGTGTATGCATCCCATGGTAGATATGTATAATTACGTAAACTGTACACGTATGTATACGTTTATGTAAGCATGGAATTACATGTAAAACATAGGCGTATATATCACGTTGTGCACGTGATTGTATATTGTTGTACAACGTCACGTCAGTATATATTCGTGTACGTGTACATGCCCAACGGTTGTGAATGCCCGTGTATGGATGATGCTGTACGTATCAAGCGTGCACGCACACACGACACATCTGCATTCCTTCACGCACCACCTTTTTCTCAATTCTTCTCGGATGCGTCTTCACGTATCAATCAACAAAGCACCCGCTGACTGTTGGTGCGTCCGTGCGTGTGTGCCTGCGTGTGTGCCTGCGTGTGTGTCCGCGTGTGCGCTCCCTTACGCGCACGCACCGCGGACCCATCCACAGGTCGAGACGGCCTCGCCATTTTCGGGCCTCGAACTGCGCCCAAGAAGCGCCGCAAGTCGCGCACGGCCTTCACGAACGCGCAGATCTACGAACTCGAGAAACGCTTCCTCTACCAGAAGTACCTCTCGCCGGCCGATCGCGACCAGATCGCCCAGCAGCTGGGCCTCACCAACGCGCAGGTGATCACCTGGTTCCAGAACAGGCGCGCGAAGCTCAAGCGGGATCTGGAGGAGATGAAGGCCGACGTGGAGTCGGCCAAGAAGCTCGACCCGGTCATCACGGTGACGGAGGGCGCGCTGCCGACGTCCCTCGTCGAGGCCATGTCGCCCGGCGTGCGGGCCCTCGACAGGAACGACTCGCGCGGGGAGACGTGCACCTCGCCCTCCCCGCGCTCCGAGCATAGCCGGGACGACTTCAGCGGGGACGACGACGACGATGACGACGACGACGACATCGAGATCGACGTGGACGATTAGCGCTCGCGTCCACCTCTTGTCGTCCACCCTCATCGCCTCCGCCCGCCAAGCCCGAACATCCACCACCCCTACCGTGCCGTGCCCTGACGACCGCATGCACGCGGCCCGGTCGCGCGTGCGGACAGTCGGACAGACGACCCACGAAGACTACAAAAAGACAAAGATACTCCCCAGAGCCTGAACGGACTGTTGGGGCGAGTGCTGTTAGCGAGCGCCTCTGAGCGACACGCACACAGACAGAGACGCACACAGAGAGACACGCACAGACACACGAGTGCACTCATCGCAGACGCATACAGGCGGACGCGGAGAAAAAAAAAGAGAGACGTTCAGTATATTTTTTATTTTATTTGTATTACTATAAATATATGCTATATAAATAAAACCACACAAACTATTATTATTTCTTTGCTACTGGTAGCCCCCCCCCGCCCCGCCAACCTCCCTCCAGCCCTTTTTGCTATGATGAAGTCGAGGAGTGTGTGGGTGTGTGGAACGGGGGGGGGGGGGTCTTAGAACGATGTCTGAGTCGGGAACGTTGTACGAAGACTCGGGGCTCGCGTCGAAGTACAAAAAAACCGCACGAGCGATGGCAGCGGACCCGGGCGGCGACAAAACGAAGGGATGAAGGGGCAGGGGGGAGGTGATTGAGATGCCCCCCCCCACAACACACACACACACAAGCCAGCCCCCGCCGCCCACCGTGAGGTGATTGCTGGGAGCAGCAGCAGCAGGAGGAGGAATTCGCGGATGATCTGGTGGCACGGAGCGGCTGAGCAAGGGGACAGCATGTCGCCACGTTGGGATAGCTTCGGTCACCACCACCACCACCCACCACTACCACCCACCACTCCTACCAGCAGCAGCAGCAGCTCACAATGAATGGGGGAGAGGCGGCGAATTCGCTTTGGATGTTCCTTCACGTGGCGTCGGCAAAGGGGAGATGAGACGCGTCTACCGTGTGTGTGTGTGTGGGAGGGAGTGTGTGTGTGTGTGAGGGAGTGTGTGTGTGTGTGAATGAGTGTGTGTGTGTGAATGAGTGTGTGTGTGAGGGGGAGTGAGTGTGTGTGAGAGGGAGTGAGTGTGTGTGTGTGAATGAGTGTGTGTGTGTGAATGAGTGTGTGTGTGTGAGGGAGAATGTGTGTGTGTGAATGAGTGTGTGTGTGAGAGGGAGTGTGTGTGTGAGGGAGAATGTGTGTGTGTGTGAAAGGGAGTGTGTGTGTGTATGAGAGGGAGTGTGTGAGAGGGAGGATATGTGTGTGTGAAAGGGAGCGAGTTTGTACGTGTGTGAGAAAGGGAGTGTGAGGGAATGTGTGTGTGAGAGAGTGTGTATGTGTGTTAGAGCGTGTGAGTGTATGAGAAAGTGAGTGTGAGAGAATGTGAGTGTGAGAGAGAGTGTGAGAGTGTGTGTGTGTGAGAAAGTGTGTGTGTGTGAGAGAGAGTGTGTGTGTGAGGGTGTGTGAGTGAACCTGGCATGGCACAAGCGCCGTGGTGACGTCACCGCCACTGAGTGGGGAATGGCGACTGTTGTGTGTGTGAGAGAGGGAGTGTGTGTGAGACTGTGTGTGAGATAGTGTTTGTGTGTGAGAGGGAGTATGTGTGTTAGACAGTGTGTGTGTGAGACAGTGTGTGTGTGAGAGAGGGAGTATGTGTGTGTGAGACAGTGTGTTTGTGTGTGAGAGGGAGTATGTGTGTGTGTGAGACTGTGTGTGTGAGAGGGAGTATGTGTGTGTGAGAGGGAGTATGTGTGTGTGAGCGGGAGTGTGTGTGTGTGAGGGAGTGTGTGTGAGACAGTGTGTGTGTGTGAGACAGTGTATTTGTGTGTGAGAGGGAGTATGTGTGTGTGTGAGACTGTGTTTGTGTGTGAGAGGGAGTATGTGTGTGTTAGAGGGAGTATGTGTGTGTGAGACAGTGTGTGTGTGTGAGACTGTGTGTGTGAGACAGTGTGTGTGTGAGACAGTGTGTGTGTGTGTGAGACTGTGTGTGTGAGAGGGAGTATGTGTGTGTGTGTGAGAGGGAGTGTGTGTGAGAGGGAGTGTGTGTGAGAGGGAGTGTGTGTGAGACAGTGTGTTTGTGTGTGAGAGGGAGTATGTGTGTGTGTGAGACAGTGTGTGTGACTGTGTTTGTGTGTGAGAGGGAGTATGTGTGTGTGAGAGGGAGTATGTGTGTGTGAGAGGGAGTATGTGTGTGTGAGACAGTGTGTGTGTGTGAGACAGTGTGTGTGTGGGGAGCGATAGTGTAGTGGTTAGCGCGCTGCGCTATGAACCTGGCGACCCGGGTTCGATTCCCGCTCACGGCCAACACCAGTGACGATTATCTGAACCGGTCCCTGGCCTCCCCTAGGTCAACTCAGCCTCAAATGAGTACCTGGTGCGGTGTGTAAACATTGCCACTAGGGAGACAAAGGCGGTCGGGCGTGGTGCTGGCCACCCACCCCCTCGTGTACCGTTCCGGCCTTCATAGGTGATCGCTAACAGCACTTGCCCCAACATTCTGTTAAGGCTACACGGGGGATCTTTGTATTTGTGTGTGAGGGTGTGTGTGTGATAGAGGGAATATGTGTGTGTGACAGAGGGATGGAGTATGTGTGTGTGTGTGAAGCGGTGAGAGTGTGAGTATACGTGTGAGTATACGTGTGTAACAGTGTGTGTAAGAGTGTGTGTATGATGTTTTTATGAGTGTGCGTGAGATAGGCAGTATGTCTGTGTGAGTGGGGCAGTGGGCGTGTAAGAGAGAATGTATGTGTCTGTGTGGTTATGTTAGGAATAGAGTACGCGTGTGATCTTGTGTGTGTGTGGCCTTTTGTTTTTCTGTGAAAGTGAAAGAGAGGGTGTACGTTTTGTGCGCGTTCGCGTGCGTGTGTCCAATAGCATTTGCGCATTCCTGTGCGTGTGCGCGCGTGTGCGCGTGTTGTGCGTGTGTGTGAGCGTGAGAGAGAGATTGCGTGTTGCCTCTTCGTATACTGCACGCGGCAACACTCCCTCCCCCTTCTCAAGACTCAGAAACGCAATGAGGGCGAAACCCATCCGGTTGCCTTGCGCGCAATCCAATTCCTCAACGCTGCCAATGGCTTTAAACGCGCCACCGCTGCGTGTACATATGTATTTGCCTTTTGTGCCGCGTGTTGCCTCGCGGCAGTTTGACCCGGAGAATACAATTCGATGTATACTACACCAGGGTGTGAGAAGCTCGTGAAAATAACACAAGGGACGGTGCAATGATTTTTTTTTGTCAGCGGAACACGACTGCCGCGTTACAATAGCTGGCATCGAGAGGCGTATGCGGATTACATGTGGTCCGGTGGTGGCAGTGGGTTTACTCGTGATTTCACACGGAGTTAGCCTCGGACGAGTGTGATCGTAGAGAGTGTTTGTCAGCGGTGTGTGTGTGTGAGTGTGAGCAACAATGGTATGCGAGTTTGTGTACGTGAGTTGGGGAGCGGTAGTGTCGCGGTTAGCGCGCTGCGTGCTACGCTACGAACACGGCGACTCGGAATTCGCTTCCCGCTCACAACCGATTACAGTGAATAATAGTTGAACCGGTTCTGGGCATCCCGTGGGTCGCCTCGGCTTTAAATGAGTACCTGGGGCGGTACTTGTCAGAACTGGGGAGACAAAGGCGGCCGGGAGTGGTATTGAGCATCTACCCTTTGCCGTCTAACAGCGCCTCGCCTCAAGTCTGTTAAAAGGCTGTGTGTGAGTGTGTGATTAGTGACTTTGAGCGTGTGTGTGTGTTTGGCGTGTGAGTGTGTGTATGGGTCTAAGTGTGAGTAAGTGTGAGTGGGGGTGGAGGGGGGAGAAGCAACGTCGACTCTTCTTCGTCTTCTTACTTCGCATTCTTCGCTTGACTGAACTCTTTTTGAAAAGGAGAGCGAGAGAGGGAGAGGGAGAATCTCTCCTCCCGTCAAAGCTCCATTAGCGAAGCACGCAAGCATGTGTGTATAACTGTATATACATTTATTAAACATTGTATTTACCCTTTGCGAGTGTACGACGGCGTTTATTGGAAGTCGGTCCGTTTCATCAGCGGGTGCCCTCAAAGCGTCTCACTCGGGTAAAAGGGAGCGGGGAAAAAACTTGGAGGTGTTTGTCACGCAGAGGTCTTGTTGTGATGTCCAGTGATGATTTTGCTGCTCACACGCGTGTTACACACAACACACACACACACGTGTGTGTGCATTACACAACACACACACGCATACCCCAGACACGTAAAAACGCGTATCCACGTATGCACACACAAATACACACACGTGCACACGTGTTCGGGTAAACTGTACACAAAACACATATATACAGGCATACATGTGTTCACATATACACACGAAAACACACATATGCATAAAATTCATGGACATGCAGGTACATACGCGTATAATAGATACCAAGACAAATATACCCAGTATAGCCTTAATAGACTGTTGGGGCAAGTGTTGCTAGCGAGCATCTATACAGGTGCCGGAACGGTACACGAGCGGTGGGTGGCAAGCACCACGCCCGACCGCCTTTGTCTCCCCATTGGCGATGTTTACATACCACACCAGGTACTCGTTTGAGGCCGAGTCGACCTACGTGAGGTCCAGGACCGGGTCAGATAATCCTAACTTGTGTGTCCCCGTGAGCGGGAACCGAAGTCGTGTCGCTGGGTTCGTAGCGCAGCGAGCTAACCCCTACACTACCGCTCCCCGAGGACACCCGTACAAAGACGTACGTACATACACGCAAACACTCACATACACACGCACACGCGTGCATACACAAAAGAGAAACCATCCCCCACATAGCCTGAACAGACTGTTGGGGTCCGATGCTCATGAGCGGGCACCTATGAAGGCAAGCACGTGCATACACACACACATTCGCGCACCGACGCACACACGCACTTACATAGACCCTCAATTGACGTTCTAGAGTCTAAACCGAGTTACAGACCCATTCACACGAGTGCTTTGATTCTATTGCCCGCACTGACCGTCTGGCTGAAAACACTGCTGCTCTATTGACTTACATTGGATAAAAGAGGAACAAGCCCCCTATGCCTCCCTCTCCCCCCCGCCGCCCCCTCCTAGATTTTTTTTTCTAACCAAGAGACGTTGTTACATATTCAAATGCTTAATGAGCCACTTACTTCAGTGAAGAATGACCCATCCTTGTATTGAACGCGGACCCATGTCTAATAGGGAAGGTCCTTCCCTTGCCTTATACAATAAACATCTGGCAGCTCAACGGCATTGGTAAAGTTAAAGGAAAGCGTCTGATTGCTGACGGGATGTTGAATGTCGAAACCGGAACACGTGTTTGCTTGTACGACAACCAATGCT